ATTTCTACCGATAGGACACATTTTCTAGTCATAACAAAATGTGAAAGTTAAATGGTGGGTGTTTCTAATATGACTCGTATCGATATGGCTGCATATGACATATCATATTTTCTTTACTATTGGCTCTTGCAACTTATATTATCTTTCTTTCTTTCTGAAAGTATATTGTTTCAATTAATCCTTCGCGGACACAAGTCTGAGTTCTGCTGATGTTTTGTTGCAGAGGCGGAGATTGTGGTGTTGAATATTGAAATGTTGGAGATTCGAGTACCTGACAATGCGATGATAACTTTTTACTGCTAACTATGCTGCGAAGGGAGATGTTAGCTTATGCACCTCCAGCAGTGGTGACAAAGTTTTCCTTTTTTTTTTTTTGTACAATGTCCTTTACAGAACATGCAGTTGTGTTGCTGCAAGAAGATGTTGATTATACTGTACTGTTAAACATCTTAAAGAAAAAGCTTAAAAGAAAGCCTACCATCTTAATTCTGTTCCTCCATCCCATTTGATTATTATTTTTCCCTTATCATATGTTTATTTAAGTCGAGGCTAATCCATAAGCATGTCCTTTAATTTGGTCTCATCTGAATCTATGCTCTTTAATTTTGGTTGTGCACTTAATTTTGTATAAAATACAAAATTGAATAAGTAGACACACATGTTTTACACGACATAATATAAATTAATTTGAGTATATTTGTTGCAAATTGTTATGTTGGATGTGTGTGTCTATTTATTCAACGTTATATAAGTTGGATTGTCTATTTAATACATACCCAAAATTGGAAGACAAATGACAAAAACGGAAAAAAGTGTTATTGGTTTATTAAGATCAGCCTTTCTGGAAAACATCAGTCGTCGTTAAGGAAAATTTCTAGTGGATGTCTGTTGGTATTAGTTCTGTAATTCAACTTGCACAGTTCATAAACAATTAATTTCCTGCAAATTAATCAATTAATTAGTTGAGGCAAGTGGCCAACACGTTGTTAGTCAAATCACAATTTTCATTTTCCATTACGTATCCCTAAGTTAAGTTCTACTAACTTTTATTATCAACATAATTTAATCTGTTATACAAAATAATAAGTTATTCTCTATTATAAATAAATATAATAATGGTAGAAGGTAAACTAGAATTTACAGATTTTTCGTGAATCGAAATCAGAAGACTATGATTAACAATAATTACTATAGTTAAAACTTGTTTTTATCTTTTGAAAATTGCAAACCTAGCAATAGGAGATCGTCAAAATCCGATGCTATTTTTCAGCCTCTAATCTTTCTCTATAATAATTTAATGCTAATTATTAAACAAAATGTTAAGCAAAAATTGTACGCATTAATTAAGATATCATATAACAACTCTCTTGATCAAACACTTCTAGTTCTTAATGTGTAACTAATCCAACAACTCTCTCATTATAAATAGTAAAAATATATTTATTCAAAATTTTAACTCGATCTCTGCATTCTATTATATAGTTTAAATCTTTAACCTTTAGCTCTTTTATCTCCCTCTTTTCATCATCAACGATTCTAATAATAACTCAAATAATAACGCCTCAATCCTAAATAAATCAAGCTATGTTTGAAATATTTTCATCCTAATGTAAGAAGACACGGTCATGAGAAAGCCAATTTACGCGTAGAACGGCGCTAGCTGTAGATGCTGTACCCATTCCAATTTTTTCTTCTTCTTATTATATGCTTTTAATAATTTTATGTCGTTATTAAACTCAAAATATTTTCTATTTTAAAAATATATGAATATAAATATTTCCACTACGAACTCAAACTTACTGTAAACAATTAGCTGGCAAGAACTGAGATAACTTTGTTAAAAGGGAAAGAGAACAGATAGATCTCTTTCTATTTCTGAGTTTCTTTCAAAGATCACTTTTTTCTGGGTTTTTGTTGAAATTTTCTTCCAAGAAATCATCTTTTTCCTTTTATAATTTGTTATTTTAGCTCATTTTGCTATTATGGAGTGCAGACATTGTTTTTCTTGTATTTTTCTACTGTTTTCTTTCTTCATTTCAGCTTCAGCTTCAGCTTATTTATCAGGTTTGTGTTTGTTGTACTGTTTTTTTTTACCAATTTGGTTTCTGCTATGAATGTTCTTACATATTTTATTTTTTGTTATACAGATGGGATTTTTGTTAATGAAGGTTTAACTGGGAGGAATCTACTTCAAACCAAGAAACGTAAGCTCTTGATCATCATATTTTACTTTTGTTTGGTGGTCTTAGGAGCTAGATTTGTGGGTATTTTGTTAAGTTTTGTAGTAGCTGATTGGTTTGACTGAAGATCTGTTAAGTTGGGTTTGTTCTTTAGGTGTAATTATTGTTAAAATTGAAACTAAATTTGTGAAATAGATTGTTGGGTGTTTTGGTATTTCAGCTTATTTGCTTTTGTTTCTGTTTTCTGGGATCTGGATGTGTCATTTTGCCTTATGTTTGAGGTGAGGTGAGAGGAACCTTTTGTAGTTGAAGATGGAAAATGCTCTTTTTTGGTTTATCTCTATGCATTATTATTATTCTTGTTTTTCATTATTTTTCTATTTTTGTTGTTACATGTTGTTCCTTTAGCCTTGATTATCTTATTATCTTGCTGTTGTTTCTACTGCCTCTTTTTGATCATTCTTTGAGCCGAGGGTGTAGCCGGAAACAGCCTCTCTACCTTCTCAAGGTAGGGGTAGAGGTAAGGTTGTGTACACTCTATCCTCCCCATACCTCGCTTGTGGGATTACACTGAATTATTTGTTGTTTTCTTTGCTGTTTTGTCTTGGTTATGTTCTTACAGTCAGGTTATGTCTTAATATGCTTGAGTGCCTTTCTAATAAGGAAGAAATTTTAAAAAAAACATGCAATGGTTGTGTTATCCTGTAATTATGGTTAGTAGGTTATTGCAAATATAAGGACAAAACCAAACTTTTTTAGGATAATGAATGTTTAAATTGAGCAGCTTGTGACATTTCCATATAATTTTGTAGTTGATATCATGTGATAGTTTTGCTAAGTCATTTTTAGTGCCCTGTGCAAAGTTCAATAAGCAGTAGGATGTGCTGCAATCTGCTGCGTATTCTCGCACTCTGAAGTTCTGCATAGCACCGCATGGATTTGATAGAGATGTTTTTTCCAGTTTGTTTTCTTGATACTGTGGCCAGGAGTGTCTGTTTGATGATACTCCTACGTACAAACCTATAGGATAGGGCTTGATTTCAATGGTAACTTTGTTTTCTGGGCTGTGGATCTTCTTGTATGCTTTGTTCATCCACGGTGATGGAAAATGGAAAGGGAATGGCATGCCAGATGGTATAAATGTGAAGTACATTATCGTGTATTGCAGCTTAGGTGTGTACTGTGTGATTGAAATGGCATCTAGGACTGCCTATTAGTTGAGTTGAAGTATGTAAAGAGAGCTCGTTGATAAGGATAACGTTTATGATGGTACTGGATATATTTTAAATTGAGATGAGTCAGATCAAGGAAAACACGATAGATCATAGTTCGTAAAGTTTTGCTGATCTCTCACAATTCATATGTTGCTGCATGTGTGGTGACTTAAAAGCAATTTAATCTTGTTTTCGTCCATCAAGTAATTTAAAAACATCGATGTACCTGAAACATGGAAGCTCTACAATTTCGTTAACCAGGGGAATATGACACCCTAAGTTGCTTGATAACTTGCTTATTGGCGATTGTGAGACGCACATAGTTTTTGCATGTTTGTAACTCACTGATGATCACTTTACAGTGACCAAGAAGATTTCTGTTTGCTTAAATTATTTACCTCAAGAGCTTGAAATGCTTGCTGAAGAATGCTTTGCTTCAATATTTATGCAGCTTGTCCTATCAGCTTCGAGTTTCAAAACTACACAGTCGTCACTACCCAATGCAGAGGACCGCAATACCCAGCCAAACAATGTTGTGATGCCCTTGCGCAGTTTGCTTGTCCCTATTCAGACTATGTGAATGATTTGACAACTGATTGTTCCTCTACCATGTTCAGCTACATTAATCTTCACGGGAAGTACCCACCTGGTCTTTTCGCCAGCGAATGCACTGGTGACAAAAAAGGGCTACCATGTCCCGATTCTGCACAAGCAGAATCTGCCAATGCTAATAATAGTCATATGAGCAGTAGACTATCACCAATCCTGATGATTGCAACAGCTATTATGGGCTTGTTGTTGTTGCTTCTCTGAAGACCTCTTCAAGGTTGTGGCGGTAGTTTCTGTATTCTTTATTGTCAAATATTGTTTGAACTCTGGATTTTCTTCTACCACGTTACCTCTGATTAACGATCAACAAGAAACTCATTTGAGCCTCCTCTTGTAATTCTTGATATATTACAACAACAGTTACTGCTGATACTTGTGTATTGAAAATGACTCTCCTTGCTAAACTGAGGATCTGTTAAATATTATTTCACTTTGTTGTATTTTGAGTATGGGCGATTGTAAATGTTTTCCTTTTTGTTCTTCCTTGTTGAAATCCCCGTGGGACGGGGACGATTAGGATGTGTTCTGGTGTTGATTATTGACATTTCTTCTGCCAGATAGCAGTTCGTCCATTAAGATGAACTTTGATAAAAGAGTATCTGCATCCCCACTAACATCTTTTGGTAGTAAATCACAAGTTGACAATGTGATATTAGGTGTGTGTGCATGAATATAGTAGGTAGATATAAAAGTTTTGCAACCATACAGTGGCATAGATACCTGCTTTCTAAACGGTTAGTGTCTACGCATGCCTTACTCCTACCGTAGACTATTATATTTAGTGTGTCTTGTAGTATACTAATAAATGTATCCATATTTGCTGTCATTTTGTTTGTTTGGATAAGGCTTCTGTGGTTGAGGATACAAGATATAACATATAAACCAATACAAGGAGCATTGGACAAAATTCACTTTCATCAGCCAAGTATTCTATTCCTCTGGAAATGAAAAAGATACACACAACTGGAAAATTCTAACAAGTTACAACTTACAATAAATGGCTGCTGCTTCAACAAGCGCTCGTGTTCCATTGCAGAACTTTTCAGAATTGCAACGCGGAAAGAGGAATAAAATCCCCAGCAGTGTTCTGTTGCTCCAGATGTGTCGCGAAAAGAAGGAAGTCAAGCAATTACATGGCCAACTGATTCTCAATGGATTAATTCATCGTATTCCAAATGGAGCAAAGCTCGTAGAATCCTATGTTGGAGTGTCTGAAACTGATGATGCATTGTTAGTCTTCAACTCATCAATTCAATCACCTGATACATTTGCTTATAATGTTATGATCAGAGGACTGATTCTTAGCAAACGCCCTATAGAGTCGTTGTTTTTGTATGAACGATTAGTAACAGATGGACTATCACCGGATAGCCACACGTATACTTTTGTTCTAAAAGCTTGTTCCCATTTGAAAGCTGTTCTTGAAGGTAAAACAGTACATGCACAGATAATCAAGAAGGGAATAGAACCAAATACCCATATTTGTAGTTCTTTAATCTCTATGTACTCCTGTGCTGGTGATATGGCATCTGCAAAACAAGTTCTTGATGAATTCTCAGAGCATAACAATGTCATTTGCCCCTTTAACTCCATGATTACCGGTTATATGAATGAGGGTCTGGTAGAAGAGGCCATTGAGATATTCGATACAATGGGAAATAAGGATACAGCTACTTGGAGCGCGATGCTATCAGGGTATGTTAAGAATGGTATGCACGAAGACGCGCTTGTCACATTTCAGAAAATGATGAGTTATAATGTCCCATTGAATGAATCTTCACTTGTGTGCACTCTATCAGCCTGTGGAGAGTTGGGAGCTTTGGATCAAGGAAGATGGATACACAAGTATATCATAAACAAGAGGGAAATTGTAGTGAGTGTCAATCTTGGTACTGCGTTAGTTGACATGTATGCTAAGTGTGGGTGCGTTGAGTTTAGTTACCAGCTGTTCGAGAAAATGCCTCGGAGAGATGTTGTAACTTGGGGAGTGATCCTTTCGAGTTTTGCAACACATGGACAAGCCAAGTTATGCTTCCAATTGTTCGATGAGATGATAGAGTCTGGAGTTGAGCCAAATGGAGTTGTATTTGTAGCTATACTCTCTGCCTGTTCTCATGCTGGACTCGTCGAACAGGGATGTCACTATTTTGATCAAATGGTACATCAGTTCGGAATAAGACCATCCATTGAGCATTTTGGATGCATGGTTGATCTTCTTGGACGAGCTGGGAGGCTTGCAGAGGCAGAACAGCTCGTTTTATCAATGCCAGAAGAACCTAACTCGGTCATATTGGGTGCATTGTTTAATGCTTGTAGAATCCATAACGACGTTGAAAGAGGGAGGCCCCTATTCAAGCGACTAATCAATTTGGAACCCTCACCTGATCGATATAAACTAGCAGCGTCTTTGTTTGCTAATAATGGAGCTGATCATGAGATCAGAAAGTTGCTGAAGGATAAAATTTTGGAAACTAGATGTGGCTTGAGCAATATTCAGGTGGATGGGGTTGATCATGAGTTCATGGTCAGTGATATCGCGAATGACAGAGCTCAAGATGTCTATGAGACATTAGGAGGATAGCAGATCAACAAATCTGGTGAACTCATTTGATGTGTGAGGGCTTCTGTGAAGATTGTAAAATTCAATAAAAAAAACTAACATCTGTTGCTGGAAAAGACTATACATCCTTGGAAGACACTACCAAGTTAAATTTAAGCACAACAAAAAGGGCAAAAGCTACTACTGCACATGCAAAATATTACCAGCTTGCTGATACATTTGACTCTGAAAAAATGTAGCTGAATGCGAACATAGCTGCTGCTGATTGACACTGAAAAGTGATACCAACGTAGTAAAGTTACATTCTTCCACTGCTGTCAACCCCCACAGAAACATTGATCGAGAAAGGACATTCCTTTAAGCAGAATAGAGCAGTGTGTGTGTGTGGTGCAGCAGAATGTAATCACAGTACCTGCAGGAAATATTAAAAGGACCACATGATTACAACACACGGCTTAAGGACATAATCGCAGTTGCATGGATCTGCCCCCTGAAGTAGACGGGACAAGTACCTCAAAAGAAACACAACCTAATGTAAGAACAATCTCATATTCATATAGATGAAGCGATTTAGTGATACCAACAAGATTTCCTCATTGATGTTTACACGACATCATTCAACTTCAGATCCAACAGGATATGAAGCAACTGAAAATCCAGTCAGTCCTACAACTGTCTAACCAGTGACGAGCACTTGTATCAACACAAAACCTGAAAAAGGTTCTCTTTTATTATAAGTGTAGAAGTCCAACTTACAAATATTCCCTCCATTTGGAACTACCTCAATAATCTAAGATTTTGTACATTATATACTTAGCAGATCCGCATGACTGAACGACATAACATTAGTCTTACACGTAATGTATAGATAGCCTTATATTTGCATCTTTAACAAATGATCTAATCATTGATACAATAGTTGTTCTTCGGCCATGAGGCACTTCAAAACTCTTGATCTTTGGCAATACCACCTGTAGTTCCACTGACCCAATAATCACCACATAAACTTGCGTCTCGACCTATGACGAAATTGCTTTTTCATCACACACCAGGAAGTGGGGAAGCTGCTCAACTGTAGTAAACAGACAAAGAATTTGTATCATAATCAGGTATATGATAAACATTAGTTCAATGACGACAAGAACAAAATATTCATAATCGAGTACAGGCTAATTGTCAGTTTGATTTTTTCTACACCAATCTCCTCAAAAGAAGAGATCATAGTCAAATCAGAAGTAAATAATTTCAAAGAACCAAAAAAAAAAAACAACTAAGCAAGAGGCAACCGAAAGAATTGACATCTTAAGCAGGTAGAGTGACTTCTACATTTTAAAATGCAAATTTGGAATACGATTTCTACCGGAAATAAGAAACATTAACTAATTTTTCAATTCAAGGTATCGTGTCAAAGTCAAGTTTGTCAATAAGCATGAGTAAAAGTGTAAAACTACTGCAACAAATTATGTTCAGAAAGGGTAGCTTACATTGCCAATCAGCTTAGCCCCATACCAAGCAGAATCTACGCCATATGGGGGAGGAAGTACTCTGATTCCATTATTCATGCATGGGGGAAGAAGTCCACACACTTCCTTCTCTAATCTTTCTGCAATAAAGTTCATAATAAGAAAAATCAGTACTTTCCTTGAATATTGCATTTCTTCTTTATTTCGTCTGTTAACACTTCTGATTTTTACTTTCCTAAATTAGAAGAACACGGACAAACACATGATTCCATCAGATACATTGTCTAGGGAAAAAGAGCATAAGTTGCAATTCACCTGCTAATCCAGGCAAACATGCACTTCCCCCAGCCAAAACTACTGTTTTGTACCAGCTATCATCAACCATTAATTCAGCATCCTGGCAGTGCTCCATGCACAGCGCCACAGCATTCTGCAAACCCATAGCACGCCTGAAACAAGACCACAGATCTACTTATTTTCCATACTACAGATCCTTGTTCTTTTTTGAGGTAATTGGGGGGTGGGGTCAATTGTGTTTCACCATTTTAATCCTCAAAAACACCACTTTGTCTAAACGATATAAGCCAAGAAATTGGCGTCATCAGTTGACCACAGTAGACTGTAGCCTCAAAATGATACTACGATGTCTAGAACTACCCCCACCCGCCCAGAGTACAAATCTCTCTCTCCATTCGCATATAAGAAAATAAGTCTCAGGAAAGACCTGATGCAACAGGGTTCCAATTGACTACATAGTCCAAATCCACTTTGTCATGTACAGGATCTACTCCAGTTTTTTAAAGGCCTTTATACCCTAGGGGAAGTAATTGAAAATGGGAGTTGTTCAATAATTCTTACTAAAGTTCCCAGAATAAGGTAATATGGACGTACACTCCTGCAATGTGAGGCTGGAACAAAATCTCTCCTGTTTTAAAGCGCTCTTCTGAAAGTGTAAAGCAACCCTCAGATGCGATCTGAAAAGATGCACTGGTATCTTTGGATAACTCAGCTTCATAATCAAGCGCAACATAACAAAGGTTCTGCAATATGAACCAAATGAACCTCAGAAAATATACTTGAAAACATCACTAAGAAATAAAAAGTAACCGTAACTCTCATGCAGCTAGGCTTGTCAAGTCTATGTTTGTCACAGGATCAATACTAACTGAATCTAACATGATTTGTGTTGGTAAGATAAAAAGAACAGAAAAACTTGTACACTAATAACATCTTTATTTTTGAATAAACAAAATACAGTGAAAAAGTGAAGCAGAAGCTCTGCAATAACTCTTAAATTTGTAATCACATTCCTCTCCAGATACCATAAATTTCTGGAAAACTTAAACTTGGATTACTTCGCAAACCTTACATTGATTATTGTAATTCGACAATGTGTAGTAAAGAAGAAAATCACAAAGAACTCACAACTAAGATATGCATTTAACATGGTTTATTGAGGTTATCCGCAGCTAGTGCATATGCAGTAGTGCTGCAGCTATGATTATCTGACCAAGCACTTCTCAAGATTATTAGTATCTAGATGTGGCAGTAGAAGGACACGACACGACAGTTCAAAAATTTATGTACAGCGAAATGGTTTCCAGTAACAAAAATGATACCACGACATATTTTTGAAGTGATTCAGTAACTGTTAACTTGCAAGGTAGAAACAGTGCAAAGAATCATGTCTAGGTGAAACCGCCTTCCTTCCCACCCTAAATGTTCTATGGACAGAAAGTTGATACCTCTTTCAGTGTCCGCACAGTGTAAAGTGACCCAAAATAAATATTCTTTTGTTGCATCTGCTCCTTAAGGAATCCTGTAAGCTTCAATGCTCCAATTCCCACAACTTCCACACCTACTTGGTGCATGACTTTACCGTAAAGAACTGTAAAATACCAACAAAGTGGCTATACATAAATTATTGAAACAATGCAATCGAATTGCAGACACAAAGAGAAATAAAAACATGCAATCCATGTAAGTTGTTCATGAAGAAATTTAAGAGTAAATTAAATCATCAGAAAGAATAAACAATTAGTGAGCACAAACTTTCTTTTTGATAAGGTAATTCAAAAGGAGTAAAGCAAATGTGAGATGAAATTAGTAAACAAGAAACATTGGAAACCATCTGTGATTCATCTCAGGGGTTGTCTGGTCATCGCTGATTAACTCAGAAAGCTGGAGAATAAAAACTTACTTTCTAAACTATCCTACTAGCAACTCAAAAAAACAAAAAAACTATCACAGTTCAAAGAATTAAAAATGAATGAGTTCTATAAAGACAAGTTTACAATAAAGTCAAAGAACAACCATAAGTCCAGTACATGAATAAACAACTTACTTGGAACAATAGATGTCTGGTTAAATCCAATGTTGACTACTATTCCTGAAACTTTCCTTGCAGCAAATAAAGCTAAAACGGCCTATATTTTTTGAAAGAAAGACATTATGATACTATTATAAATCCAAAATCAGATTATCACTAAAAATTTGGAAGAATCTTGGTAATGTATGGTACAATCTTAGAAAGAGAACAGGAGAAGTTTGCCAAGTTGGTCATGACATTTTGATCATTTTCTCTCCCCATGTTAATAATATTTAGTTTTTGCCATTAACAATAGAAAGCATCAAGTACTTCATTAGTTAGTCAAATATGTATCAGATATTATTAGTGGAAAGCGAGAAGTGGGGCTATTTGACTGAACAAAGTCCATAACCGTTAAATAAGAGAAATATGTACTGTTATTTTATGTTAATTAAAATTTTCAGGGATGGAAAACTACTGTAATTAACAAAAGAAGTCAAATATATTAGGGTGAGGCTACATGGGTATGTATTAAATTGGTGGTAGCAGCGCCGAGTAGCCCAATGCTAAGGCACGAAAGATAAAATCCAATAAACCTAAGGACCAGGGCATGCCACAACAGCAAACAGGTGAATGCCTGACTAAGGAAAGGCACACGATAACTGTGAAAGAAAAGCTTATCTGTGATATACACTAGCTTATGAAAGGAACAGATTCTGCTTTATATGTAACATGTTCATAAATGTCGCTCAACAATGACATAAATGTTTTCTTCTTCCTCAGTCTAACAAAGTTTTTCTATGAGCTTAGAACTTTTAAAAGTACAACCAAGATTGTTATCTAACAAAGTTTTGCTACAAGTTTAGAACTTTTAAAAGTACAACCAAGATTATCAAAACTAACAACTTTAATCACCTCTGGAAATCCAACAGAAGTTGAAGGAAATGAATAAGTACTACCTGGTTGACAGCACAAACAGCAGGAACATTCATGTCAAATAATGCAGAATGGATCGCGTCTTTTAACTGCGTTCTAGCTGCTTTATCAGATTCAGTATCTGTATAGGTAAAGAGAAGTTAGAAAGAAAAATAAGAGAACAAACATAGTGATGAACTTTGAGAACCCAACTACACCCTCATACGTGCACCAAGAGCCACTGAAAAGATCTTACTATGCTCACTTCTTAATAGTTGAGAGATAACAATTCAAACCTATTTAGCACCTTACCCTCTTGCTCAAAAGTCAAATGG